CTGAACCACATTTTGTATCTCTGCTCTATAAGAGGATTCATCATTGTCACTGATGAGACCGATGATGGTGGTGTCATCAGCATATTTGATGATCAAGTTTAAGTCAGAGGAGGACACACAATCGTGAGTGTACAAAGTAAAAAGCAAAGGACTCAAAATACACTCTTTTTGGACACTCAAAGACGCTTCACCTGTCAGTATTATTTCACTCCAAACATAGTAGTGACAAACTATTATTGTAGCCACACCTGTCCTGGGGCACACTGACAGAAGCAAGGCAACCAGTGTGTGCCATCAGCCCCTCTGACCACCACCAACCATTCACACCAATGACACAACAACAGTTTTTTCCAGCCGCAGCCTGGCACCAGGTGTTCCCAGAGGTCTCCCATCACAGGACTAACCAGGCCCTGCCCTACTTAGCTTCAGAGATTTGATGCAGGTTTGGCTAGTTATAGACTGTCTCATCTTTAGTTCATCATTTTCAGAAAAGTGGCAAAGAGGGTGACACTCTCAGTCATCAACTGTCGTGACTCAATCAAATAAATCAGGGGTCACCAACCTTTTTGAAACCAAGAGCTACTTCTTGGGTACTGATTAATGCGAAGGGCTACCAGTTTGTTACACACTTAAATAAATTGCCAGATATGACCAATTTGCTCAATTTACCTTTATTTCTATGTTTTTACTAATAATTAATTATATTTATTTTGTGGAAAAACTTTTATATTTTCTCTAAGTGCACATTTTTCAAATTTAACAAATGATCACTTCTAAGACAGTCCCATTTAATCGCAATTAATCACATTTTAATCGCATATAAATATTTGACCTGAGAACAGTGAGAAGTAATTTTTTTCACATGGATTTTTAGTTTACCATTGAATAATGACTGAATACATGAGGCTTAAGCAACACATGTTAATATGGAGTTTAAGGGATAACTTCTAAACATTTCTGTCATTGCCTCCACACTCTGACGACAACATATGCTCCTCCTCCTCCTCACACTGACGACAACATACTCTTTTTAAGCCCAAAATCCACTGCGTACGCTGTGAGCACTAAAGCTGGGCATGCGCTGTTTGCTAAAGCTTTTATAATACGTTTTTGATGTGTGCATTCGGAGTAAACATCAGCATTAGCAGCTCACACACCTGTGTCTCGCTCCTCCTTCTCCTCCTCCTCCGCTCACACAAGAGTCACTGCTCCTCCTCCTCACACACAGAGTCCATCGCTCCATACACAGCGCTCATTCTCGTCTAATTTACTCAAATTTAAAGTTGGTCTCTGCTTGTAATAATGTACTTTTGAACAAGAAAAGTCACGGAGCTCCGGTTGGTGCGTCAGTTCAATTGGTCCGTCTGAAACTTATTCAGTGAGGAACGTTCCGCGGTGCAAAAATACATACGATTAAAATGCGTAATTTTTTTAACGCGCTTTTTGTGTGTAATTAATTAATCTTTATTAACTTGTTAAAGTCCCGGCTCTAGTTTATATGCCATTTGTAAGTTGCATGTAAGTATGATTTAAACAAGAATAGCACTGGTAAGTGCTGCCATTTGAGCTATTTTTAGAACAGGCCAGCGGGCGACTCATCTGGTCCTTGCGGGCGACCTGGTGCCCGCGGGCACCGCGTTGGTGACCCCTGAAATAAATAATAACATATTTTCCAATGAGATGAAGGCAGCATGATGTGTTCAATTATATATTTTTACAGTTTTTAACTATAATATGTATTTAAAAGAGCTGAAATGTATCCATTAAAAAAGATTGAATCAAATAAGCAGACAAAATAAATCGACAAAACTTTCCAAAGAGCGTTTCTGAAGTCTGGAACTGTCCGTGGTTCTGAAATGCATTTCTCACAGCAGAGTTAAATTTCTACTTTGTAAAATGTGGACTTCTCTGAGGGAATCCAAACATAATTACATAGGTTCAAATGTAATGAATAAATCATGAATCCGAAGCACAAACATGTCAAATGGATTTCCTGATGATATGCAAATGAATCCACCTCCACTAAGTCACATGGTTTTGCTTCAGCTCTGGACTAAATTGACTAAAAAATTCAACGTGTCTTGCTCGAGGACACAACAAGCGCGCACAATTTGAAACCAATTTGGAGAATAAAAAAAATCGTACAGAAACACGTTCCAGAAAATCGGTCCAGGCGTCGGAGCTGTCCGTGGTGCTGAAACGGTTCTGTCAAAACGGTGCAGCATTTCTTATTATAGAAGTCCACATCTCAAGGGAACTGGAACAAAAATAGGAAAATACTTTAAAAAAAAATAATAGTTATGTAAAAATAACTTGCATGGCTAATTCTGGAAATTAAATAAACAGTTTATACTAGTGCCAAGTAGAGACACACTCCTCTATACATGTTTTGTAGAGTAAAAACAGAAATACAGTGGTCCCTCATTTTTTTCAGGGTTTCATTCCAAAATAACACACAATATCTGTTGCAGTTGTATGGACTTGAAGGCTGTAAAACACACACTTTTCTAACCACCTGAACTGACGACCACTGAAGTGCGATCGCAGGTACATGAGACCTGTTTCTTGTGGGTCTGAGTGCTGCTGCAGCTGCAGCAGCACTCTGCGGCTGTATGCAGTAGAATACAGCCGCAGAGGAGACTGAGGGGCAGGAGCAGGACCTCTCAACTGCTCTGTCCTGTTGATTTTATTTTTTTAACCTTGACTTGTTTTGCTAAATATTTGTCCTCGTTTAGCTTGAGTTTTACTTCCTGTTTGTCCGGTTGGTTTTTTTGCCCCGCCCTGTGTGTATGAATACCCCACCTGTTGTCCGCCAATTGTCAATACACCACTTTGTTTTCAGTTCTGCAATTTTGTGTTTTTTTTTTTGCTACCTTGGATTTGAAATTATTTGGTAAAAATACACATCATTTTTAGTTCTTTATTATAGGTTCTTTTTTTTTTTTCCATTTGACCACAGAAGACACAAAACTTGTCTTCTCCTGACTTAGGGCGACAGTAGCTCAGTTGGTAGAACATTGGCCTTTGAGCCAGAAGGTCGTGGGTTTGAGCTTTCTCCATCGACTCTAGCTGATGTCTTTGTGTCCTTGGGCAAGACACTTAACCTCTGGGAACACCTGATGCCACAGTGGGGGGACTGCGGCTGTAAAGTGCAAAACTGCTGTTGTGTCCTTAGGCAAAACACTTCACCTCCATTGCCTAGAATGAGTGTGGTGTGTGTGTGAATGGTTGGTTGTGGTCGGAGGGGCCGATGGCGCATACTGGTTGCCTCGCTTCTGTCAGTGTGCCCCAGGGCAGCTGTGGCTACAGTAGTAGTTGATCACCACCGTGTTTGTAGTGAAAGAATAAAGACATGTGAAGCGTCTTTGAGTGTCAAAAAAAGCGCTATATAAAACCGATGCATTATTATTATTATTATTATTATTAAGATAAAGGTGACGTCGTGTTTAACTTGCGGTTCAAAGATGTGTGTGATGTTGTAGAGTTTCACACAAAGAAATCCGCAGAAAATTGAAGCTGCTGAAGGTGAATTGACTCCCTTTAAAAAGAGGTTCTTCATCTCAATTTAAAGGTTAAATAAAAGTTAAATAAATAATATTAAAAACACTATCGTACAGCATCTAAAACTACAACTTAATACATTTTCTTTTAATATTTATTTTTTTTGTGCACAGATTTCCTTGTTTTTATTGTTTACATTTAGTTTCTGTCCAAATCTATGGCTCTGTTTATATTCCTGACTGAAGAAAATAATAATAATTTCAACATAACGAAAAGACTGCATGAATACTGTACGATGTGTGATGCATTTAAATGGACTGGATCTAAAACCAGACCTTACATTTATCTTCAAACCTCTGCACGCCCATTAGACGCGGAAAACACCCACCGGCTTTTCAGAGATATCCGGTGTGACGTCCGCGGCCCTGAGTCACCTGGAAGCAAATCTTTTCTACGTGAAAGCAGAGGATTGAAGTTCACATGAAGACAGAGGATGTGGATTCATTATGAAGAAAGGAAGTGAGCTGCAGATGATCGTGGGAACTTCAGAGAAACGCCTCCAGTTTATGTCTCTCTCCACAAAGAGACGGAATGATAATAATAAGTATAATAAATAATAATAAGTCATTCCAAGTCTGAGACAACAATGAAAGGCTCGTATAGTGGTCCCTCACAATTACATGGTCCACATTCTGCGCCGTTGGTTTGATCGCAATTTTTTCATGTATGCAATGTTTTATTTTTGTACAGTGCATTTTTATTTTTTTATTTTTATGTTGGCTCTTCCTATCATTGTGAAGCAGAATTCACCAAGCGTTGGATTGTTCACCCACTAACAGGGAACGTGAGCTGGGCTTAGACTGTCGTGAGAGAGGTTAGTTTTTTATTTTTCAATTTATTTATTGTGCATTTTTTTATGTGTGCAATTTTTTATGTGTGCAATTTGTTCATGTTTGTGTTGTGCAAATTTTTTTTTAAGTGCACAATCTCTTTTATTGTAAACATTTTTATGGGTGCAATTATTTGACATGGGTTGGGTGAATACTCCAAAAACATCACATAAAACATTCAATTCATTTTGGTATAGCCCTAAATCACAGCAGTAGCTATCTCAGAGGACTTTAAAAAGCTGTCAATTTGCCAACACAGATCAGAAAATCAAACCCTTCAAACTCGGGAAATGTGATGATAAAATAACACTTAGAGCCATTGGTCCATGAGAGGCAGAGTCCAAAGTCCAAAAAAATTTCCAGTCCAATGTCGTTGAGTGTCCAATGTCCTGGATCATCTCCACTGTCCTCAGAGGAGTCATACTTGCCGTGATGTGCATTTGTCAAAGAAATTGGTTTTTGTTCATCGGATTATCATAATTTGATGTTAACTGTGTTTTCAATGAAGCTAAAACCTGTAGCAAAAGACAGAACAGTACAGACTGGGCCCCAAAAGGAGAGGGAAAGTATACATTGAAAGCGCCCTCAGAGCAAGCTCAGGTTTCGGACACAGGGACAGGGACGGGGACAGTGACGGGGACGGGGACGGGGACAGGGACAGGGACAGGGACGGGGACGGGGACAGGGGCGGGGACGGGGACGGGGACAGGGACGGGGACGGGGACAGGGGCGGGGACAGTGACGGGGACAGGGGCGGGGACAGGGACAAGGAGAGGGGCGGGGACGGGGACAGGGGCGGGGACAGGGACAGGGGCGGGGACAGGGACAGGGGCGGGGACGGGGACGGGGACAGGGACGGGGACGGGGACAGGGACAGGGACAGGGACGGGGACAGGGGCGGGGACAGGGACAAGGAGAGGGGCGGGGACAGGGACAGGGGCGGGGACAGGGACAGGGACAGGGACAGGGACGGGGACAGGGACAGGGACACCATGTGTTGCTCAGCGAAAACATCGGACTAAAATGTGAACCAGCATCTTTTCATTTGACAGAACGAGGAAAGGGATGAGGTTCCCTCAAACTTCTTTTGTGCTTTCTAACACAGTTGCATCACTCATTAATAATTCAAGTTATTTTTCACAGAATATAAACTAAACAAAATATCAAAATAAGATCCTAAGTGTCTGTTTGTGAGTCGTCCAGCCAAAGAACTCCTCGTCTCCTGCTGCAGACGCTGATGTGTTGAATGGAGGATGTCAGACACATGGGGTCCAGCTCGACATAGAGCCGATGTTCCCTGCAGAGTGATGGAAGGAAAGTCAATGCTGTGGTTGAAACGTCCCACGGGGAGCTCAGGGGGGGGAGGCCGGTGCCAAGGACCGATCACAGTCTGCTCAGTCTCGTAGGACAGGATCCACTGAGGTGTAGTTTTTGACAAACCAGAGAAAGGTTGGTGGGCTGAAACTTCTCTCTATAGCGAACTATCTAAATGACATGTGTTTCGGACAAACACTGCCGAAATGAATCAAATACCACTTGTCACTTTAGACGAAAATGATATACCAGGGGCAAACTTCCACCATCAAACCATCAGGGATCATAGTGTAGACCAATTATAACGTTGGCTTGAATGTCGTGGTCTTCCAGTAACTGGTAGACGGTTTGAATTGATAAAAAGATAATGGTGAGGATTATGCTAACATTATCTAGCCATTTAAATTGCAATGCTAGCGCCTTCTTTGTTTGTTTTGCTGTGATTAACTTCCATTTATCAAGTTGTTTTTGCACTATCCACTTTGTAATTAGTTTGATCATTAGTTAGCTACAGTCAGCTGATATTATAATAAATCCATGATCACAACGGGTTACGCCACTGTCTCTGAGAGAAACTATCAGAGCTAGCCACACTCAGTAAACGCAAATGACAATCAATCAACACATTTAAATGTTAATGGGAGAATACATTATACACATTCATAACACAAGTGCACGGAGGTTTTCAGAATTAACTGTTCAGGTTTTCATGACAACAATACTTTTTTAATGCGACTAAAGCGATCGCTTTTAGGTGAACTATCCTCACTGTTACTCGCCTGCCACGGGAAAACCTTTGGGAACTATTTTCTTTGCACTCATTAAATAAACCTTTCGGCATGAGTAGTGAATGACGTTTATTTTGTGTGTTCAATTGGTACAAAGCCGTATAATAAGCAGACACAAAGTTGAAAAAAATCCCTCTCATCTTTCTTCAGGTGTGAGAATTGTATACTTTCTGGATTAGGACAAACAATACTAATATGGATTGATGGGGGTAAATGGTGTAAAGAGAAAGTTTGTGCTAACTACATTCAGAAGAGCTCAGACGGACCAGATACAGCGGTCCAGATCCAGTCCCAGCTAAACGTAGCTAGGACTGGATCTGGAGGCTCCACAGTTGGTCCAGCGAAGTGTTTTGAAAAAACATGTGCCCTTTTTAACCTTTTCATGAGAGAAATTCTGCCGACCACAAGCACCCACCTGGTCTGATCTGGTCCTGGTCTGGTCCTGGTCTGGTCCGATGTTGTGGTTTAACGAACGGGTTGAATGTTACTTTCATATAGTGCTTTTCAGAGTATCTGAAATCGCTCCGACAAGCACCATAACTGCAGTGTTTTGTTGTCACCATGATTCAATGATTTAGAATACACACGCGTATGTGGAGAACACAGTAGTACTCAACGGAGTCGGACAGAGTTTGTCCGAAACATGCGCGCATGCGCAGTCATCTGAGCTATTTTTAGCACATTTCGGAAACCGGACAGTGCCCTATAGTAGTCAGAATGAAAAAGAATTGAGTTTCAAATGATGATACATTCTATAGAGGGGACGATACAGGGGTTGCTCAATCCTCAATCGGGATCTACCGCTCGTTCTCAATGGCAGAGTGGTTAGCTGTCATGAGTTTTTCCTCTGAATGTATTTTCACTGCAAGGATCAATTATTTCACACGTTTCGATCTCACGGTTGCTTCACTCAGATTTGAAAGCGCATCTTTGAGAGTCACAGCACTGCACTTACACAACCCCTGCAAACACACACACACACGCATGTACACACACATACACACACACACACATACACACACACACACACACACACACACACACACACACACACACACACACACACACACACACACACACATACACACACTAAAGTCTAAGTCTTCTATGAAATGGAAATCACATGACATAAAATAAATCTTATTCTAGTTTCTTCCAACACAAGCACATTTTTAGACTCAAACTGCCAGACTACAAAAGGAGAATTGAGTGAATAAAAATGCCAGACTTTCGCAGTGATCGATGATTGGAATCCTCATAATGAACAAAAAAGCACAAAATTGTGACATTTCAAAATCTCTGCTCACTGGTAACAGGAACAGTACACTAACCGGTCTCTTTGTAGGTACACCTGGCTAGTACCGGGTTGGACCCTTTTTCCTTCAAAACTGTCTTAATCCCTCGTGGTATTGGACACATTACTTGGAGAGTTTGGTCCATATTTGATACATGCAGTTACTGAAGATTTGTCAGCTGCACATCCATGACGCTCCTGTTCCACCACATCCCAAAGTGTCTCTATTGGATTGAGACCTGTGACTGTGGAGGCTAGTACAGTACAGTAACTTATTGTCATGTTCAAGAAACCAGTCTCTGATGATTTGAGCTTTATTACAAGGTGTTTTATCTGCTGGAAATAGCATCAGAAGATGGAACACTGTGGTCATGAAGGGATGGACATGGTCAGCAACGATGCTCAATTGGTCCTAAGGGACTCAAAGAGTGCCAAGAAAATATCCCCCACACCATGACACCCCCACCACCATGACACCCCCACACCATGACACCCCCACTACCAGCCTGAACCGTTGACCCAAGGCAGGATGGATCCATGCTTTCATGTTGTTGACTCTGACCGTACCATTCGAAGGTCACAGCAGAAATTGTGAATAATCAGACCAGGCAACTTTTTCCAATCTTCAATTGTCCAATGTCGGTGAGCTTGTGCGAATTGTAGCCTCGGTTTCCTGTTTTAAGCTGACAGGACTGGCACCCGGTGTGGTCTTCTGCTGCTGTAGCCTATCTGCCTCAAGGTTTGACGTGTTCTGTGTTCAGAGAGGCTGTTGGTTGAGACCTTGGTTGTAACTGAACCGCAGCAGATCGTCTTGACCATGTCTACTGCCTAAATGCATCGAGCTGCTGCCATGTGATTGGCTAAATAGAAATGTAAGATCTTGAAGTGATTGTAGATCTTGATTGGATAAATTGTGAGTACCATGTTCTACATCATACAGTCTACAACAGTATATTCCCCAAAAAGTGTTTTGTCGATAATGATTTGAGAATCATAACGAGACCTTTTTAGTTCTGCGCCACATGGTACTCTACCAGTGAGATGTGCTTGACGCAATGAGTTCTGGATCACAGACTTTCTGATTGGTGAAACGGTAGAGGGCAAGACAGCAAAACTATAACAAGATTAAGGATCCGTAAAACTAATTTTGAAATCCAAATATCTCTGAACTACTGTCATCAGTTAAAGTATAAGTATAGTATAAGTGTCATGGTGTGGAAGTTGTTATGTTGTACTTGGTTTTCTTTTGACATCTGTTCTGTGGTTTGGTTTTAGTTTTACTTCCTTTCTTGTTTCCCTGTCCCGATGGTTTGGCCCGCCCTGATGTGTTTCACCTGTGTCTTTGTGTCTATATGTACCTGTGCGTCTCTCCTCTTGTTGCTGGTCCATTGTATCGTCAATGTCTGTTCCGTCCTGTTACTGGTTCCTGGTTCCTGGTTCTGTGTTCCTTGTGCCTTTGGATTTTGAGTTGTCTCAAAAGCATTCCTGCTTATTAGGTCCTCATTTAATTCACCACATGACAAAAAGACCCTGTTTTGTCAATACCTTTGGAGAGATTAGGGCCCTTTAATGATGAACATCTTACATATTGCTGCTTTAAAGCAAGTATCTTGTGTGTGAACGGCGCTTCCCCAAACGTCTGAGCGGCGTCTGGATCACACTGAGCTCAGTCTCCGTCTCCGGCCGCAATCAACCTCCCGCTGCCGCCGCCGCCGCTGCCACCTACCGCTCCCGCCACCGCTCCGTCCGGAAAACCAATCATGGCCAAAGGTCAGTGGACGAGCCGCGGCACTAAACCTCGGCCACTTCTGCGATGGTCCAAACACTGAGACACGTCTGACTCCATGTCTCCCATTTTCAAACACAAAAGGTTAATTGTGACGGAGAAGAACAACTCTGTGTTTTCTGGATTGACCGGTTGTCATGGCGATGGCACCAGCAGAGGAAGCACCAGTGTGGACCAGCACCTGTGAGGACCAGGACCAGTGTGGGCCAGCATCAGTGTGGACCAGCATCAGTGTTGACCAGCACCAGTGTGGACCAGCACCAGTGTGGACCAGCATCAATGTGGGCCAGCACCAGTGTGGACCAGCACCAGTGTGGACCAGCACCAGTGTGGGCCAGCACCAGTGTGGGCCAGCACCAGTGTGGACCAGCATCAATGTGGACCAGCATCAATATGGACCAGCACCAGTGTGGACCAGCACCAGTGAGGACCAGCACCAGTGTGGACCAGCACCAGTGTGGACCAGTACCATTTTGGACCAGAAAGACATCATTTTTATTTATTTTTATTTTCACTTTATTGTGTTGTTATTCACATCACATTTCCAACATCAGGACACTTATATTTTCTATGTTTTAAAGTTAGAAGTAAATTCAAAAGCAGATGGTAAATAATAACATCTAAATACTAAATCATAATAATACTAATAGTGAAAAACATCAGCCAATAAAATAATGGCTGATAAAATGTTAAAAAATATTGATCATAACTACATGTATAATATTAATGTAATAAAAATTAAATCCAAATATTATTCAGAATCATGATTGTTTTTATTGGGCGTGAGAGGATTCTGTTTGTTTTCTTCAGTT